AATTTATTTCTTCCAAATTTAATAATTCTAATCATCTAAAAATTACGAGAGCACTAGTAGGGACCGAGCCCTACACAATCCTGAAGAATAAACAATTTTATTTCAATTTTTAAGTAGTAGCACCCTCACCCGAACGCCATCAGACAATCAAAATTTGGTAAAAACGACAATAAAAATTTATTTCTTCTAAATTTAATAATTCTAATCATCTAAAAATTAGCAGAATTCTAGTAGGTACTGAGCTCTACACAATCCTGAAGAATAGAGATTTTTATTTCATTTTTTTAATAGTAGCACCCTCACCCGAACGCTATCAGACAATCAAAATTTGGTAAAAACGACAATAGAAATTTATTTCTTCCAAATTTAATAATTCTAATCATCTAAAAATTACCTGAGTTCTAGTAGGGAAAGAGCATTACACAATCCTGAAGAAAAGAGAATTTAATTTCAATTTTTAAGTAGTAGCACCTTTACCCGAACGCCATCAGACAATCAAAATTTGGTAAAAACGACAATAGAAATTTATTTCTTCCAAATTTAATAATTCTAATCATCTAAAAATTAGCAGAATTCTAGTAGGTACTGAGCTCTACACAATCCTGAAGAATAGAGAATTTATTTCAATTTTTAAGTAGTAGCACCCTCACCCGAACGCCATCAGACAATCAAAATTTGGTAAAAACGAAAATAAAAATTTATTTCTTCCATATTTAATAATTCTAATCATCTAAAAAATTACCTGAGTTCTAGTAGGGACTCAGCTCCACACAATCCTGAAGAATAGAGAATTTATTTCAATTTTTAAGTAGTAGCACCCCCACCCGAACGCCATCAGACAATCAAAATTTGGTAAAAACGAAAATAAAAATTTATTTCTTCCATATTTAATAATTCTAATCATCTGAAAATTATCTGAGTTCTAGTAGGGACTCAGCTCTACACAATCCTGAAGAATAGAGAATTTTATTTAATTTTTTTAATAGTAGCAGGTCCACCCGAACGCTATCAGACAATAAAAATTTGGTAAAAACGACAATAAAAATTTATTTCTTTTTTAAATTTAATAATTCTTATCATCTAAAAATTACCTGAGTTCTAGTAGGGACTCAGCTCTACACAATCCTGAAGAATAGAGAATTTTATTTCATTTTTTTAATAGTAGCAGGTCCACCCGAACGCTATCAGACAATCAAAATTTGGTAAAAACGACAATAAAAATTTATTTCTTCCAAATTTAATAATTCTAATCATCTAAAAATTGCCTGAGTTCTAGTAGGGACTCAGCTCTACACAATCCTGAAGAATAGAGAATTTTATTTAATTTTTTTAATAGTAGCAGGTCCACCCGAACGCTATCAGACAATAAAAATTTGGTAAAAACGACAATAAAAATTTATTTCTTCCAAATTTAATAATTCTAATCATCTAAAAATTACCTGAGTTCTAGTAGGGACTCAGCTCTACACAATCCTGAAGAATAGAGAATTTTATTTCATTTTTTTAATAGTAGCAGGTCCACCCGTAAGCCATTAGACAATCAAAATTTGGTAAAAACGATAATAAAAATTTACTTCTTCCATATTTAATAATTCTAATCATCTGAAAATTATCAGAGTTCTAGTAGGGACTGAGCACTACACAATCCTGAAGAATAGAGAATTTAATTTCAATTTTTAAGTAGTAGCACCTTCACCCGAACGCCATCAGACAATTAAAATTTGGTAAAAACGAAAATAAAAATTTATTTCTTCCATATTTAATAATTCTAATCATCTGAAAATTATCTGAGTTCTAGTAGGGAGTGAGCCCTACACAATCCTAAAGAATAGAGAATTTTATTTTAATTTTTTAGTAGTAGCACCCTCACCCGGACGCTATCAGACAATCAAAGGTAAAAAGTCATTAAAATGTATCACTTTTAAATTTAAGAATTCTAATTATCTAAAAATTACCTGAGTTTTAGTACTTACTGAGTTCTGCACAATCCTAAAGAATACAGAATTTTCATTTTATTTTATTTTTCAAAAGATTTTCGATTGTCTGCTGAATGGAGGATAGGGCCGCAAATATTTAAAAGTTGAAATAAAATATTCTATCGTTTAGGATGGTTTATAACTCAGTTCCTTCTAGTAATCAGGTGATTTTCCGATGACAGAAATATAAAAAAATTAGAAGAAATAAGTTTTTAATGACTTTTTAAAATATATTTATATAAATTTCAATTGTCTGCTAGCGTACGGGTGGTGGTGCTACTACATATACTTAAAAGTTAAAATATAATGTTCTTTGCTTTAGAATGTTTTCTAGCAACATTCCAGCAACAATTAAAGCAGTTAATTTTCAAATGATAAGATATTTCAGGGAGGAATTTAATTTTTATTACCCACTTTCCCTATTTTTTTTTTGGAAAAAGGTTTTCGGAAAATGATAAAAATTGTATGAGCGTTTTTGTATTAAAATAAATTCACAAATAAATAAAAACAGTGTTAAAATATATTAAATTAAATTAAAAAATTTTGAAATGATTTTAAAAAATAAAGGAAAATTAAGGGCGTCGAACTAGTTTTTAGACATTAAAGTTTAAATACTGCGCTACATTTTAACATTTATATATATTAGGTATTAAAACAAACAGCTCATGTTTTCCCTGAAAATTAGTCAATCCTGTTAAAAGAACAATAAGATATACAGACACCGGTTACGGGTCTGTTCTTTGTGCTTTGTATTAGGACAGTTTTAAAACTGATGCGTTTTTCTCTCGAGAGACACATGACACAATTTTCCAGATGAGCAACCAAAATATTTTCTAAACAATTCGACCAAAATTTTTCTTTTTTTTTAAAGGCGACATTTCCTACACACACAAAGAGAATTAATTCTTTTAAAGGAAAGAATTTTTCACATGAATTCCCATTATTTATATTGTATATACTCATTTTAAATAAAGGGATTATTTTGCAGAGAGTTTATAAATCAATCAGTTGGAAAAATAAATTGACACTCTAAATCCTATGTCCCTAAAGTTTCGAACGTTCAAAGCAACGACATTTTTTTCACTTCTTTTATATTTGAATTTTATTACAAAACATTGTTTTTTATAATTAAAAAAATTATTTTTTATACTGCGGAATGAATGTTTAATTATAGAATATTTTTCATTTTGGTCCAATAATTTTCAGAATTTTATATGATTATTATTGATTAGCAGATTTATTTTAAGTACTCCAGATTTAATATTTAATTCAATAATCAGAACTCGAACCAGTGAAAGTATTTAAAAATAAGGACTTTACGGATAAAAAATAAAAAATTACGGACCATTTATGGGCCAATTATTACTGACAAAAATATAACCTGTTCGAATCGAATAAGAAATCATTTTACTTAAAACTATAAATTAAATTTTTCATAACTATAAAACATGTTTACAATTCAATTTTATGAAATTTCAATTCTTCGAAAATTCTTCAATTAAATATATATTAGAAAATAACAACTTCAAAAAATTTAATTAAACCTTTTGAAGAAAATTAATTTCATAGAATTGTTAGCTAAAATTTTAATTTGAAACCTTTTCGGAATTTAATTATTTCTAAAAATTCTATGCCATAATGCTTTTAATATTCAATTGTTATCTATAAAATTTTAACTGAAATTCATTTTTAAATCAATTTTTATTAGAAAATTCAACGAAAAATTAATTATTTAAATACCAAAATTAATAACTTATTGAATAATTAAATGTTTCCTTAAATTAAATTCTCATAAAGAATTCTATCAACAAATTTTTAAGAATAATTAAATTTTTCGAGGAATTCGATTAAAATTGTATTAAAAATAATTTAAATTCTCTAATGAGTTTTATTATTTATGAAAATAATTAAATTCCTAAAAAAAAAATTTTTTATTTATGTAAATAATTAAATCTTTGTAAAAAATTTTATTATTTACGAAAATAATGAAATTATTGCGAAAAAGATTATAAAAAATTTATAAATAATTGAATTTCTTTTGTGAAAATTTTATTATTTTATGAAAATAATTGAATGTTTGTGCAGAATTTTATTAAATTTTTTTTAAAATAATTAAATTCTTTTGGAAAATTTTATTAAAATAGTAGATATTGAAAATCATTGAATTCAAAAAAATTTTTGAAATTAATTGAATTGATACGAAGAATTTTATAAAAAATTTTAAAAACAAATAGTAAATTCTTGCAACGAATTTTATTAAAATTTTCAAAAATAATTGAACTCTTACGAAGAACTTTATTAATTTTTTTTTTAATAATTAAATTCTAGCAAAACATTTTATAAAAATCATTTTAAATAATTGATTTTTTCGAAAAATTTTATGAAAATTTTGTTAAAAACAATTTCTTTCAAGTTTTCACAATAATCGTGTTTCTTAATAATTGAAACTAATCATTTAAATCTTGAATTTTTAAAAAAAATTTATAAAATAATTTTATTCTTTAGAAAAATATCTTTAATTTATTGAATACAATCGAATTTTTTAATAATTGTATTAAAAGTAATTGAATTCGTAAAAAGAATTTTATTATTTATGAAAAATAATGTAATTTGCTTCGAAGGATTTATTAAAATTTTAGAAAATAATTGGACTATTTTGAAAAATGTAATTAAATTTTTTTTTTAAATTGAATTCTTTCATTAAATGTTATTAAAATTTTTTAAAATAATTCAATTTCGGAGAAGAATTTCATTACTTTTGAAAATAATTGAAATTTTGCAATTATTTAAATAATTGAATTTTTGCAATTATTTCAATAATTGAATTTTTGCAATTATTTGTAACATTTTAAAAATTCTCCAAATTATATCGTTAAATTTACGAACTTTTTTTCGAGCCCTGAATATAATTTAAGGCAATAAGGCCTTAAATAGTTAAAATTTTTATAATAAATTAAAAATACTCAAAAGTAAAATATGATATACATACGAAATTTATATTATTTTAAAATACTTATTTCTAACCTTGAAATCCTCGATTGTCCTATTTTCCATCCCGAATTTGTTCTCCATCGTTGATTTATTGCACTCACAAACACACACGTTGTAAAAAATTTCTTAACACTCGCGATATCGCTTTTGGAAATCGATAAAAATATTTAATAAACTTATTTAAAAATCGCAATTTTAATAGTACTTTTTAACACTCACGAAACCGGAAAATTTATTTTAGACATTTACCATTTTTCTTCCAACTTTTTTCAAGAATAAATCGAGCAAGTTTTAAAAAAATATCGAATAACAAATTTCAACTCTTGAGAGTACTAAATAAATTTCGAGTAAAATTTCAATTCAACTTTAGCTATGACCTTTTATGATTCAAAGAACAACCCACCATTGTTATATTCCTGAATGTAAACATAATTATATAAACCCTACAGAATCAGGTAATTTCAAGTTCTATTGTTTTGATGCATTTAAATTACTTCCAACATATATAATAATTACTAAATATAAATATTGATTCACTTTCCAGATTTTTTGTTGTTGTTGAATAATTTAGAATATTTTATAAGAACATTAAATGTTGTAGCAATAATAATTTTAATTCATTAAAATTGTTAACAAATTAACAAGAAAAATTAAATTAATCGTTAAAATCGTTAAAAAAAATTCACAATGAGCAAAATTACTTTTTCTGTTTTGTAAATAAACGCATTTGTAAAAAATAGCTCTTTTCGATTTAAAGTAAATTTGTTTTCAAATTTATTTCTTTTTTTCTTGTTGAAAATTATAGACTTTTTGTTATTCAATGTAATCCTATTACTAGTTTGAAACATGATAAAGAGGGTTTTTAAAGCCACTTTTATATTCCCCTATTTTTTCTACACCCCCTTATATAAATACATATATAAAGAACAGAAGAGAGCGAAATATCTTTCTAAGTTCTCCCTAAAATAATAAATTTCTAATCAAATATTGTCTCCAAAAAAATTTATCATCTCCTTTTGATTTACACCACCGAAGTGTCTAAACTTTCTGTTTATTTTAAACTTTTATATTATTTATTTAGAAATAAAAAATTGATTTTTGGAATTGAAATATTCAATCACAGAAAGCAAATAAATGTTATATATTATTTTACATACATCAAAATAAGGATGTTTAAATTTTAATGTAAAATTTAGTATCAAACAAGGGAAAATGCAGAATTATTTATAACCTTATTCTCATGTTTTTACGATGCATCTATGAAAAGAATAATTAATTTTGAAAGTCATATAAAAAAAAATTACTAGAAAATACTGAGATTCATTGCTTGAAATTTTATGTAGATAATATTTGTTTCGGATTATTATAACAATTCTATTTTGTGTTTACAATTTTTTGCTTTCTTTGTAGGAATGTCAAACACAATTCAACAATGTACTTTTTCAAAAGAAAAAAATACTCTATTATGAATATTAATCAAGTCGAGATTGTTGGTAACAGATAGAAAAACAGTAATTTAAATAATATTTCTGTTAAAATACTTTGTTGGAAACAAATATAGTTATAAAAAAATTATTAAAAACTTTTTGTATTTTAAAAGCGCACTTAACCTCAAAAACGATGCACGATCCGTTCAATCATTCAACACATGGTGTTTACGTAGAATTTTTCGAAATTTCAACAAAAATCTGTTAAATATTCTAAAGTTGTTTAAATTGTACGAAAGTAACTTAATTGTTTGATGTAAAATAAGTGAATTATTAAAATAAAAATATACGTTACGCACGTTACACACGAAATACAAGAAATCTTGAAAGAAACTGGCGCCTTTTGAATTTGCGATCACAGCGCCATCGCGCCTACTTGTTACGGAACTAAAAATCAATATGGCTACCTGAGAAATCTGAGAGCCTGAAATTTCGTGTTATAGGTGCGGTTGTAATTAATAAAAATACGAATAAAATATCTGTTATTCTAATTTATAGTTATTAATAGTATTGTGATCGTTAATGACTCTTTAATATACAAGGATACAAAAGCGTGAAACTTATTTTTCATGTATAAAAAATTCATTACATTGTTTAACTATCAACACAGCAGCTGACAATTGTTTATCCACAGTAGTAAATAAATAATGCCCAAAATTAGTACAAATATTGATATAGAGAACAATAAGTCCCTTTAATTAATACACAAAGCAAGGAATTAGTCACAATTATTTTCATATAGTAAAGTCATGACAGCTATACAGAATTTGCAAAACCATGGATGGTGAGTAGATTGAAATTATTTTGTAATAATTCATTTTGTAATTAAACAGTTTATTGCCTGTATAAGTAACGTGTGTAGGTTTTAATTAATTAATGTCTAATTACTTTTACGCAGGTATTTATCAGAACGTGGTTACAATCTTGCGAGCAATAATGGCAATACAGTGGAAATTCAGCAAATAATCAAACGAGCAGCTGAGGTATTTACAAATTCGTTTCAATTAATAAAATATATTTCATTTTATATAATTATTGGGTAATTTTTATTTATTTGTTGATTTAAAGCTCGATTTAAAAGAAATTGGAAGTGGTGATGGAGATATTAACCAAGGAAATGTAGTGCTACAAATTCAAAAACTACGAAATGTTGCTGCTCCAAAAAATAATGAAGAATCTCGTGCAGCTCCTCGCATGCTAAAATTGTCTTTAACTGACGGTAGAAATAATTTTCAAGCCATTGAGATTGAGTACATTGCTTCATTAAGGTACGAATAATTATAATTTTACTCCTAATTGGAAATCGAATTTTATTCGATTTAAAATGCTATATCAATTTTTAATTTTAATTTCCAGTCTTAATACACCTCCCGGTACGAAATTATTAATAAAATCGGGAGATTTGTCCACAACTCATGGTATTATTTTATTGCGTCCTTTAAATGTTGGATACGTTTATGAAGGAAAAGTGGCGAACCTCGTGGAAAAGTGGGAACTAAATAAAGTAATTTAGAAAATTTTAAACTAGAATTAATGATTAATGAAAATATCTTTTGGAACTAATGAAAAATTAATTTTTTAGAAACTTGCTGTACATTCGAGAGTAAGATCCGCGGACGATGGAGGTCCTCCACCATGGATTCCGTTTGGAAAGAAAATTATGAAAGTTATAGATCAGGGAAAGAATTTCAAAGCTTTAGCTGATAAAGAAAAGAGCACAAAAGAAAATACAGAATTTGAGGCTCAACGTAAAGACGCAATCGCTGAAGCCGCCAAGCAAGGGAATAAAAAAATATTTGGCGGAGGCAATCAGCAGGTGAGTTAAAATAAATATTACAAATAAGAATAAATAAACATTATATTAAGAAAAATAATACTAGAAGTTGGAATTTTGAAATTTTGAATTTTTTAGCTTTTGGATCATGGAGTGCAAAAAATTGTCGATCAAGGTTTTTCTATCGAACAAGCTGAATTTGCCTTGAGGGTAAATAGAAACAATCTCGACAGAGCTTTGAAATCTTTGCAGAAAAATGAAAATAAGTCCAGCAAGTAAGTAATAATTTTGTTTAAATTTACCTGACGATCGATATTTTTTTTTGCCTGACGGCTAATAAATTTATAATTCAATCCAGCACTCGAGAACCTCGCGAACCGAAGGGCAAACGTTTCGAAAAGAAAATCGAAGAGGCTGGAAAACCAAGTAGCGGAAAAGTCTCTTTATTCGATTTTCTAGAGGATAAACTTCAAGCTCAATCGGAAGTGGCCGAAGCAAATTATTCACAGCAGACAAATGATTTCGCTGTTAAAGAAAAAGTCGAATATGATTCCAGAGGAAGTGATCATCACAATTCAACGCGAGGTGGAAGGTAATATTTCTTTTCGAAAGAAACCTTTTTTTCAAATAGTCAATAATAATAAAAATTTATTTTTCCTTTCGGAGATCTGTGAATAATAATAATAATTTTTTCTTTCAGAGGTCAAAGATTTGGAAAAGGGCAACAACACACACCAAGGCATTTTGATGAAGCAAAAAGCAATAAATGGTCCAACAGTAATTCCTTCAATCCTCAAGTCTCTCACTACAATTTGAATGGTGGTATTCCACAAAATAAACCTCCACGATTTCAAAGAAATCCCGAAACACAAAATTATTTCCCAACTGACAACAATCCACGAGAATATAAAGGAAATTACAATAAATATCAATCCGACACGAGAAATTCATTCGCAGGATCACGTTTTGAGGGAGGAAATTATAAAAGCGGACCATCGGGAAATTACAATAAATTCCAGCAAGATCAGCGAAAAATGGAGAATACGAGAAATCAATATCAATCTGACAATGATTCAAAGAATAAGCATTTCGATCCACCTCAAAATCGATATAATCGTGCTCTAGATACAAATCGAAAGGAATTTTCGTCCAATGAAAATGACAGAAACACGAGGAATTATACGCTTAAATCCAACACACCCGATAATACTTATGGTTATTATAATGTACATAATCAGAAAAACGGGAGTATTGTCAATAGCGAGCAGAATCAAAGTACGTCAAGTGGACCTTTTGCTTGGAAGAAAGGAGATATGTGCTTTGCTAAATATTGGGAAGACAATATAGTAAGTTTGAGAAAGAAACTTCGAGTCTAATTTTCTAAATTAATTAATTAATTATATAGGATTTTTCATTTGTTTTGTAATTTTCCTGTTCATTTCATTTTATTTCTATTTTCAGTATTACCATGCAGAAGTAACCGATTTATCCAAAACAACATGCGTGGTTCGATTCCGAGATTTTGATAATTACGAAGAAGTATTACAAACGGATTGCTTTCCTGTCACAGAAGATGCAAAGAGCCGAACAAATCAGCGACCACCACATGAGAGTAGAAAACAGGATTATCGTTTTGATAATCGACCACCGCGACAGGAACAAAATGAACGTTTTAATGGTAAATAAATTACATATTCTAAACTTACAGAAATTTCAGGTCTTGGATATTAATTACTTTTTGGACTTTTTCCAACTGTTTTAAAAGAAGGCGACTTTTTTCGATTAACTTTTAAAGAATGCGATCTTTTCGACTTTTCTTTTAATTATTACAGACAAAATACCACTTTTTTGGTATATGTAAAAGAAATAGAACTTATTTCGGTATTTAACGTATGGGAAATAATTATAGACGTTTTATGATCAACGATTAAAAGAAGAAAATATATTTTTCACTTTGAAAACCTATCGAAAAAATTTTGTTTGGAAATTTTTTTGTCTTTAACTGTTGATCAAGAAACATTGAAAACATTATTTTAATAGACAATTAATTAAAATTTAAGTAGAAAATTACTTTTTTCTTCAAAGTCTTTAATAATAAACATTGAGAATTTCGCTAAAGTAATTAAAATAAATAATTTTTTTCAGAAAATTCGAATTTCGAAATATATAATTAAAAAGCTTTTAAAGAATTGAAACTTTGAAGAATTTTAATTGCAACATTTGAAAATAATTGAATTCTCAAAAATTTTATAAATAAATCTTTAAATAAAAATTTGAAAATGAAAATTAATGAAAATTAAATACTGAAACATCGTATTAAAATTTTTTTTAAAGAAGTAATATTTAGAATTTTTATCATAATTTTTTAAAATTCAATTCTCTTCTAAAAAAAAGTAAATTAAAATTTAAGAAAAATCTATTTTAGAGTTATTATTAAAATTATGAAGCGATTGTGTATTTTTATGTATTTTTAATTAATATTCTCCAAAAACTATATATTAACTATATTGATATTTTCAAAAATTCTTTTATAAAATTCCATTATATTTTAATTTTACTAAAATTAATTTATTTTTAATTTTTTTTATTAAATTTTAATTATTTTTGGAAATTTTCAATTAAATTATTTAATTGAAAAATTTACTATTCGCAAATTATTTTTAAATATATATATATTAAATTACTAATTTTAAGAATTTTTTATTATAATTTTTTAAAAACCAATTATTTATAATATTTTTGGTTCAAATTGAATTTGAATATTTATTTTTAATATTTGAATTCTCGATGAACTTTCAGGAAATTTTTAAAAATAATTGATTTAGAGAAGAAGATTAGTTTTAAATTTTGGAAGAGTTACGGTTGTCATTTTTAAAAATAATTGAATTTCAGAAAATTTGAAATTGAAATTAAAAAAATTAAATTCCTGTGGAAGAATACTAGTAGGAATTAAATATTTATTTTAAAAAGTTATTAAATTTTTTAATATTGATTTTTTGGATTAAAATTAAATCTACTTTTTCCTTTTTTCCAGTTGGAATGGAATTTAGAAGAGGTGGAGGTGGAGCTGGTATCAAAGGAGGTTATAGAAAAAAGGGACAACAGCGTAGTACACAACCGATTTATCAACCACCAGCTCAACGTGCTCCTGCACTTCCTCAAAATACATAGAATCATTTATAATTTCTTCGAATTGAAAAAGAATTGTTAAGTACAAGGCAGTTTATTTATAATTAATTAATTACTCATAGTGGCTGGCCCGTTATTGTACCAAGACTGACCATTCAAACGCTTTTGACTTGAAATTTAGAAGACTATAGTAGCTTTCATTATAATAAAATTAAAACTAGGAAAAACAAGAAACTAAATGAAAATTCTCTTGTTACTAGGAAAACTTAATAATTCAAGTCAGCGTCAGAAATTAAATAGTTGTTTGTTATTAATACAAAAAATGATGACAACATTAAAATAATTCTAAACTAGTACGATTTTCTCTGTTACTAAAAAAAGTGCATTGTCTCTCTATCTTATCTACCGTTTTAGTGTAATAATAAACTTTGTAATATTTAAAAATGTGAAGTTTGAATAACTTTGTCGATACGTTCGATGTGTGAATCGATCGATGATGATCGATCGATCATGTATCGAAGTCGATACATGATGAACTACGCTTTCGAATCTTTACGTCGTGTGTGCGAACACTGTTCACAGTATTGCTAACCGCGTTCTTAAGACTTATATTATATAGAAATATATATAGTGCTTTAGAGTTTTATTAAAGAGTTTGAGACAATAAATGATTAAGAGTTTAATCGATCTGAATATATAAAACAAAGTGTTTTATTTAAACCATAACTCCAACAGGTTATGGGCCCAGGGCACGCTTCCACTGCGTAAAAAGCCCCTTTGAGTTTTAGAGTTTGTGTTTAGAAGTTTTAGAAGTTTTGTGAGTTTTTAAAATAAACATACAAAAAAAGGAGTAAGAAGGTGAGTAATTTGAAATAATAATTATTCATAAATTTAGAGATTTTAAGAGTAGAAGTTGAATAAATTTTAGATGATATTTGAAACAATGAATTCATTGACACGCATGCGCAAAATTTGTGCAAGATTAGACTTGTTGAGCATCTCACATGATCTCATCTGTGTCACTGCTGAATTGCTATCATTGAGGGCCCCGCTCTTTCAAAATTTTGGCCAGTGCCGAATCACTGAATGTTACGGCCCCTCATCCTAGCAAAATTTAAAACTTGCAAGTATTCAGCTCTGCGCTGTCACTATATGAATTAAGAGTAAATATATATATATACATATATATATATATATATATATATAAAGAGACTAATATAAGAGAAAAATAAATTCTTCTTATAGACTTAGATGAAATTAATTAAAGAATAATTAATTGAATAAAATTACTTAAGAGATTATCAATTAATTTTATAAAGAGTTATATAAATAAGAGTTTTCAATATTTAGAGATAAGAATAATAATTAGAGAATTCATTTAAATTTATTTAATTATTTTAAGAGATTTAAATTTTTTTAAAATTTAAATTTTTTTTAGAGATGTTTAATATAATTTAGAGAAGAATAAAATTTTTTTGTGTGCTAATGAAATTCTGATTGATGGCCTGTATGTGTGAAATCAATCAAATGACACATATACGAAAAGGGATTAATTTGAAAAATTAGTATATACAATAAATTTTTTTTTTTTTTCTTAAATTTTCGGCAAAATAATAATTTTTACCGGTGTCAGAATTAAACAAAACTTGTTGTGCGGTTGAGTTTAATAAATGACCAGAGACTCATATAAAGATTCTTTGTACAATAAATTGCTGTGCGTTTATTGTAACTCAGGACTTAAAATATCTCAAAGTTTTTATCTAAGAGTATACTTGGTATTTAGAAGTTACACAAAACTAGAGAATAAAGTGTAATATTTATATAAAATATATAAATGAAAACTTATGAGATATTTGTTTCTCTGTTCCGGTTTAGATGGCAGAATACATTTCAGATTCAGAAATTGAAATTGAACTAAGTCCAAATGGTATTGTGGACTACGATTCAAGTGATGAAAATTTAGTAGAGGAAAAAGAGAAAAATAAGGAAGCTAAAGAGGAAAATAAAGAGGAATCCAAAGAGAGTAAGAATAACAGTTTCTTTCTATTTTTTTCTATTTCGTTTCTTCATTTCTGCCCAAATTTTTTTTTTAGAGTGCTGTGAAAAATTTAGAGATAAGTTTTAAAAAAAAAAAAAAATAAATAAATTAATTAATAAATTAATTTAAACAAATTAAGAATTAGAAGATAAAGATGATTTAAAAATAATTAATTAATGTATATTAATTAATTTAGAAGTGTAAAGAGTTAGATGGTCGGGCCTGACAAATTTTATTTTTTTGAGATTAGAGACAAATTCCAAGTATTAATTTACAAAATTTATTTCACAGCGGATAAAAAATCCAAAACAAAGACGATGCCGAAAATAACGAACATTGCTACGGTGAAAAATGTCAATTTATCAGGTGTTGTAAAAGAAGAAAAGAGAAAATATGAATTAGAAGATACAACCCTGGATAAATTGAATAACTCACTGTCAATGGTCGAAAGAGTGATGGAGCAAGCCAACAAGATGATGCTCAGCATGGCTGAAGTTTCCAAAAACAACCTAGAAGCTGAACGACTACGGTTGAAACGTGTAGAGGTAACACAAAGAGATAACATTTTTAGAGAAAATCCAGAGAAAAACTCTGATGAATCAAAGATTGATTCTAAGAGAAGAAAATTAGAGAATAGCGCTGATTTACTTAGAGATAAAAATTTAGAGGCACAAAATGATTTAAATCAAGATGTGCAACTTTTTAAAGAGAAATTAGAGAACGATTATTTTAATTCAAAAATAAATATTAAGAGAGAGTACAAGCTGTCACAAAAGTCCAACTTTGACATTTGGTTAGATTACCTAAAGTCTGATTTGATGAGCAATGATTTGCTTGATATCATTGATTCAAATGTTAAAGGTCCTGAAAAACTTTCGAGTAAAATAATTTTAAAGAGAAAGAATATTGTTAGAGACATTATTATAAACCATTTAGATGAAACTTATCACAAAAAGATTTTGCATGAAACAGAACCTCAAGAGATTTTAAAGAAGTTAAGAGGATACAGGAAGAGTGAAGTAAATGTGACTCATACTTCAGTAAGAGCTCGCCTGTATCAAATTAAGATGAAAAAAGATGAAAAAGTTGACGATTTTTGTGAACGCTTTGACTCTATTATTAGAGAATATGAAGCCTGTGGAGATGCAGTAACACTTACTGACCAAGAAAAGAGATCTTCATTTTACCAAGCAGTAACTTCGATCGTTCCAGAACTTCGGAATGCTGACTTGATAAGAAGACAAACTCTTGCAAAAGAGATGAGTCTTGAAGAAATAAAATCTTTTCTTTTGCAGTTAGAAGCCGAAAAGAAGTCGGACACTAAAGATGAAATTAGAGTTCAGAGGACACAGACTCAGCAATCTCAAGCAGCTGAGAATAGGTGTCACAGATGCAATGGAGTCGGACATTGGGCGAAAAATTGCCATTTGCAAAACAGTGGTCAGTGGTTTTGCTATTACTGCCAGGCTATTAGAAATCATAAGGGTGATGAATGCCGCAATGCCAAAAATAAACAAGGTAAGAAGTTCAAACCTAATGATTTCAATAAAAACGAATCAGACGCTAAAAACAGAAACAAAAATAAGAGCTTTAATAAAGAGGGGAAAAACAATTCTAAGAAGTACAATAAAGAGAAAAACAAAGCGGACGGACCGTCGGCATCTAGAACCAAAAATCAAAAGCCTCAACAAGAGAAAAACAAAGAGCAGGGAAATAAACAAGGTAAGACTCGATTTGTACAAAGTTCAATAGAGTCAAAAGAAATAATTGACTTTATTGCTGATTCCGGTGCCACGGATCATATTGTTAATAAAAGCTTAATTTTAAGTGATTTTAAACAATGTGAAAAAGAGGTTATTAAGAGTGCAAATAAAAATGAATTTGCAGATATTGTTATAGATGGAAAGGGAGATCTTTTGTTGCAAACAGATACGTTTAATAAAGAAATCTTTAAGTTAACAAATGTCATTGCAGCAAAAGATGTCTCTGAAAATTTACTATCTTTAAGGAGACTAACTGATGCAGGTTACTGCATTTATTTAGATGACAAGTCTCTTAAAGTTTTTGATAGAAATACAGAGAAAATGATTTTAGAAGGTACATACGAAAAACCAAATTGGGTAGTTCGTTTTAATGTAAAAAAAAGTGTATTTGAAAATGAACAAAATTTAGAGTATGAAAGGTTTTCCTGTAAAGCAAAAATGGTCACTAATCTTCAGCTTCCTGAACAATCACAAACAAACATTGGTAACAAAGAGTCCTCAAATTCGGAGGGAGAAAATAAAGAGTTGAACAATGTTGGTTGTGCGATTGGGAGGGAGAATGAAGAGAAGCTTACAGATTCTGCAAAAATTAAAGAGTTAGAGTTAGATGATAAATTATTTAGAGATAGTGATACAAATTTCATTTCTAGAGAAACAATAAAAATAGATGATTTAGAGTCTTTGAACAATTTAGAAGAAAACTTTATTGCAAGTCCTTTAGAGATAAAACCAATTAATTTTAAGAGATATGATGAGGCAATGATGTGGCATGTTAGGTTAGGTCACGCCTCATTAAACTATCTTAAGAAATTACAAAAGGTTCAAAAAGTATTAGAGAATGTAAAATTTGATGATTCTATTTTAAATTGTGAAATTTGTATTATGTCAAAGATGGAAAAATTGCCTTTTAAAGAGAGTAGGAAAAGAGCTAATCGACCCATGCAATTTATCCATACAGACACTATGGGACCCATTAAACCTTTGTCTCATCCAAGTTTAAAAAGGTTTATCGTGGTTTTTGTCGATGATTTTTCTAGATTTGCTAAAGCATATTCTTTAAAGTCAAAAGACGAAACTGGAATTGCTTTAGAAAATTATCTAATGTCTGCACGAAACTTATTAGGTAAAAATGAAAAAGTGTGTTATATTAAATCTGATCAAGGCACCGAATTTATCGGGGGTAATTTTTTAGATGTTATTAATAAAGAGAAAATAGAGATTCAACCGTCACCACCGTATACTCCAGAACACAATGGAGTAGCCGAAAGATTTAATAAAACCATTCAAGGAAAAGTTCGAGCGTACATGCTTGATTCAGGTTTACCGAAAAGTATGTGGGAACTTGCTGTTGATGCTGCCGTGCATGCATACAATAGAACTCCCCACAAAAGTATAGAATTTGAAGTTCCTTTAGAGAAATTCACACCAAACTCAAATTGCCACTTTGATCGAATTAAGAGATTTGGTTGTATTGCGTATGTAAAAGTACCAAAACCAGACTCCAAATTTAGTCAAAGAGCAATAAAATGTGTGTTGGTGGGATATAAGAGCACTGCCTATTTACTGTGGCATCCAAGCACAGGAAAATTCCTTGAATCTCGACACGTGAGATTTAATGAAAAACTTGTGTATAAAGATGTTTATAAGAAAGATCCAACTAAGAGTAACATTGATTTAGACGATTCAAATGAAACAATTGAAGCAATTAAGTGGGATTGTTCAACAGAAACTAAAGAGAATAATCAAGAAGAAAAAGAGGAAAAGGCGGAACGCAGGAAAAGAGGAAGACCAAAGAAAACATTAGATGAAAAGAGTAAAACTAAAGAGAAACTAATAAACGATGAAAATAGTTATTCAACAAGAAGTAAGAGCAAAAGAAAATTAGAAGATTTAGAAGAAATAAAATCAAAACAAAACATCGAATTTTTAAATAGAGAAGAAAAAGAAGATAAAGAGATAGAGATGATAAATTGTCTTATGGCATCACTAAATAAGGATCCAACAACTTATGATGAGGCAATGAAAACTAAAGAGAAAGAAAAGTGGGAGAAAGCAATAAATGAAGAAATAGAATCCTTAAATTCGAACGAAGTCTGGGATTTAGTTAATCGACCAAAAACAATGTTAGATGGAAAGAAAGCAAATATAATTGATTCTAGATGGATTTTTAAGAAGAAATTGCAAGCTGATGGAACAACACGTTTTAAAGCAAGGCTTGTTATTAGAGGTTTTAAAGACAGAAACATATATGATTTAAAGGACACTTACGCACCTGTCTCAAGATTACCAGTTGTAAGAGCACTGCTTTCAATTATTAACAAGTATAATTTATTTGCTTGTCAATTAGATGTGAAGACAGCTTTTTTAAATGGTATTTTAGAGGAAGAGATTTATATGGAGATTCCAGATGGTTTACCATTTGATAAGAAGACAAAAGAGACCAAAGTGTGCAAATTAAAGAGAAGCTTATATGGTCTAAAAATTAGCCCTAAAAATTGGAACAGAAGATTTACAAAAGAGATGCAGAAGCTCGGATTAGAGAATGATCTTCATGAACCCTGTTTATTTACTTGGAGAAAAGATGGTAAATTAGCAGTGGTTCTGATCTATGTAGATGACATGCTTATTGCAAGCAATGATAAAGAGGTATTAGAGAAAATCAAGAAAAGCCTTAGTCAAGCTTTCGAATTAACAGATCTTGGAGAACCGAAGAATTTTCTAGGAATAACAATAGAGAGAAATAAAGAGGAAAATGTTTTGCTTATTCATCAAGCAAACTATGTGGAAAGCATCCTAGAAAAATTCAACATGAAAGACTGCAAACCTCAAAGTACTCCCATGGTCACTAAACAAGTAAACAATAGGAACAAAAAGAGGAAATTAGAGGAAGACACTAAGAGCGATACTCAAAACCAAGAAATCCAAAGAGTACCATACAGAGAAGCTATTGGAAGTTTAATGTACTTGTCGAATGCAACACGTCCGGACATTACCTTTGCCGTCAACTATCTGGCAAGAAAACAGGTAAATCCGAGTGAAGAAGACTGGACTGATGTTAAGAGAATCTTCCGATACTTAAGAGGAACAACACATGTAGGTTTAAAATTTAGAGGTAAAACTGAAGAGTTAGAAGCATTAACAGATGCAAGTTTTAGAGACTGTGACGATTCAACTTCCACTGGAGGTTATGTAATCAAATTGTTCGGAGACGTCATAGCGTGGAGAAGTCACAAACAGTCCTATGTGACATTATCAACTTGTCAAGCAGAATATCTTGCCATGAGTGATGCATGCCAAGAGCTAATTTCTCTTGACAAATCAACTAGATACATCATCGGAAAAACACTTTTTCCTGTGACAATTTGGTGTGATAATAGGTCAGCAGGTGACTGCACTAAGAAAGATGGTAGTCACAAGTTAAAGATGTTTGACGATAATTTAGAGGAAATTAGTAAGAGTCTTGAATATAGAGAAGATAGAGGAAATAGAAAGCACATGGCCAATACCCATGGTGACTTTGTTAAACAATGTGTTGAAGAAGGAAGAGTAAAAGTAGAATGGATAGCAACTAAAGAGAATATAGCAGATATCATGACAAAACCACTGCCTTTAGAAGCACATAAATATTTAAGAGATAAAATGTTAGAAGATTAGAGGAATTAGATGTTAGAAAAATAAAGAGATTAGAAAGACAAAATTTGAGATTTTTATCATGAGTATGAATGTCATATTTGAGTTTAAATTGAAGTTAATTTGTAATCTTTTCTTTGTTCACAGACAAACGCAAACATTAAGAGGTGAAGTGCTAATATAGAAGATGCCTAAGCTTAAATAAGAAGCAGCCACTTAAGATGTGATATGGCAACAATCAAAGATTTAGTTTATAACTTTGATTTTAACTTTGAACAAGTATTAATATAACGAAAGATACAAATTTTGTGATATGCATTTGTTGGTTTGTTACAGTGTAGTATTATTACTTCGGTATTGTAATATATAAGACCAAAGATACTCAAATTTTATATTATAAATTTGTTGCTCAAATATTAATATTTTTATATATATATATATACTATGATAAATATTCTTTTTAAATCGACAAAGGGAGGGAGTGTGAAGTTTGAATAACTTTGTCGATACGTTCGATGTGTGAATCGATCGATGATGATCGATCGATCATGTATCGAAGTCGATACATGATGAACTACGCTTTCGAATCTTTACGTCGTGTGTGCGAACACTGTTCACAGTATTGCTAACCGCGTTCTTAAGACTTATATTATATAGAAATATATATAGTGCTTTAGAGTTTTATTAAAGAGTTTGAGACAATAAATGATTAAGAGTTTAATCGATCTGAATATATAAAACAAAGTGTTTTATTTAAACCATAACTCCAACAAAAAACAAATTTTTCAATTCATTTATACCAAATCATCAAAAAAATGATTTTTCAGGTGTCGGTAAATAATTAAAGAAAGTTCTTACTTGCAATCCTTGCGATTAATATTTAATAGTCAAATGTAATTCCGGAAAAGAAAGGAAAAACTTTCTATTAAATAAATAACAATTAAATTTTTATATAATTTATATAATACGGAAAAGAATTTTTAATAACTAATAATTTAAATCGACAATTGTGATTGGTCGGGTAAAATTTTCCAAACACCTAACCAATCAGAGAGTAAGGAGAGAAGATGTTTATCGTCTCAGCATTGATGACTATCCAACCCTGGATCGATTTTACCATCAGAGATTGACGTCATGGTGAAATAAAAATAAATTTTGCGTTTAAGTATCACTTCACCTTCATACTGCTTCTGAGACCAATTAATCTGACAGATAGGAATATAAATCCAGTTTTTATACATAATGTAATTGACAGTTTGCCTTGTTTTTAATTGGTGCATTAATAAAAATGTTTGACAGTGTCAGTGGTGCAATTAATAAAACTAAAATCCAAACATCAGTGTGATCAAGTGATCCACTGGTGTAAGTTTAAAGGGACAATACATCGTTTGTATCGTCTCGAAAATTTTAACAATTGAAATAAAGGAATCTACATATTTGATTTTACATATGCATTATGTATTGAGATGCAATATAATCTATTAACGTGCAATCTCTTATAGTTTATCGATATTAGATTGTAATAGTAAAATTTGACTTGTAACAAAAGTCATATATATATAATCAAATTGACAGTAGTGTGTACGTGATTACAAAGATGTCCTGATCATAACAATACAATACACAATTTTGTATATTTTAAAAAAGAGAAACAAAGAATTACCGAAAAAATTGCTGTGAAAGTTCGAGGAGAACAAAGATGATAATGCATAATGATAGAAAAGACTGAACGAATTGTTATAATTACAAATAGATGAATTTATTTTAATGTGCATTAAGTTTCGTGTACGTGACGTGAAACTTGAAATTGTAAACATGGGAAATTGCCTAAAGCGAGCTACAGGTCAACAAGATAGCACGACATTGTTAACCAGCAGTTCTGACCCAGTAATGTCTGGTGCTGCTTCCCAGGATACATTTGGTTCATCTTCTTTACCCTACAGTGTAATTTTTTTAATTATCTCATATTTTATTAATTCTAATTCTATTTTAATTAAATTCTATTTTTTTGCTTTCTATTTTGGAGAAATTTCAGTGACTGATTAAATAAGAGATTTTTTATTAAAAGTACTGAAAAAAATGAAACGTTTAGAATTTATAAAAAAATTCTAAATTTCTGAAAAAACCTTAAATTTCTTTTATTTATGACAATAATTTATTTTAAATAACTTCATTCTATTGAAGAACTGCCATAAAGTTATTAACAAATCATTTAATGAAGTATTTTTTTGAAACATTTTAATTTCAATTCTGTTGAAATTAGTTTCAATTTTAAAACGCAATTCTTCGAAAGGATTCAACTATCTTAATAAATATTAAAATTCTTTCCAGAAATTCAATTATTTTCAAAAATTTTTTTAAAAATTCTCGTCAACATTTTAAGTAAATTTATAAATAGCAAAATTCTTCGCTGAAATTCAATTATATTCAGGGAATTTTTATAAAATTCATTGTAAAATTCAATTATTTTCATAAATAACAATATTCATCTCAAGAATATTCAATTAGTTTCAAAATTCATAAAATTCTTCGCAGAAATTGAATTATTTTCAAAAAATCTAAAAAAAAAATTGTCTTCAACATTTCAATTATCTTTATATAAATAAATAGCAAAATTCTTCGACAAAATTCAGTTTTTTTCTGGAGTTTCGAATAAAATTCGTTGCAAAATTCAATTATTTTTGTAAAGAACAATATTCATCTCAAGAATTCAATTCAATTCAATTATTTTTATAAATACTAAAACTCATTGCAGAATTGAAATTATTTTTAATACAATTGTAATCGAATTCCTCGAAAAATGTAATTATTCTTAAAAATTTTATTAAAATTCTTCGGAAGAATTCAATTATTTAAAAATTTGTTGATAAACTTATGTATAAGAATTTAATTTTAAAAGAAACATTCAATTATTCAATAAATTATCTATGCGTTTATATTTAAATAAATAAATTCTCGTAGAATTTTCTAAATAAAAATTGATTTAAAAATTAATTTCAGTTAAAGTTTTAAATAATAATTGAATTTTGGAGAAGTTAATAATTACAATTTTTAGAAATAATTGAATTTTGTAAAAGTTTCAAATTAAAATCTTTGAAAATTTGACTTTTTCATTCTTCTAATTAAAAATTCTATGGAACGAAATTTTTTCAAAAAGCTTAATCGAAATTTTTTAAAATTATTTCAAGTTTTTATTTTCTATAATGTATGTTTAATTGAAGAATTTCCGAATAATCGAAATTTCTAGTAAAATTGAATTGTAAACAAATAAATTTGAAAATTCTCAAATGAACCACTTTATCAAAAATTATTAAAAATAATTTATTTAAAGAAGAATTTTAATAAAAAAAATTGTAGAAAATAATAATTTAATTGAAATGATGAAAATAATTTTAAAGAATTTACAGTAACAATATTTTTATAATACAAACTATTGATTTTATCAATCGGTCATTTTTAATTATTATAAAAACATGAAGACATTGATTGCTCCGAGTCGAAGACTCGGAGTGATCGATATCTTTATGTTTTGTAATAATATTCTTATAAGTAATTGAATTTTAAAATATTTGAATTAGAAATTTTGAAAATCTTAGTTCCCTTGGCAAAATAATAATTGTAAATATTTATTTGAAAATGAAGTTATTAGTGTTTTTGAATAATTTTACAATTAAGGAATCATTTTTAGAGTGAATCAGAGTATTCTTTAGGTTCAGGGAAAAAATCAAAATTTTGTCTGGAAATCAGAGAAAACAAAATTCAATTTTTGTGGCAACCCTGTTTTGATTTACAAAAGTTAAAGTTACACGGAAAAAAATATAAAGTAACTTTTACTACTTTTTATAGTAAAACATTTCTGGAAACTTTTACTACTTTCGGAGTAAATTTTGCTACGTTCGAAGTAAATTTTACTAATTTTTTACAAATTATGTTCTTTGAAGTTTGAACATAGCAAAATTTACTCCGAAATTAGTAAAAGTTACCAGAAATGTTTTACAATTTACTATAAAAGTAGTAAAAGTTACCAAAAATGCTTAACCAGAAATGTTTTACTATATAAAAGTAGTAAAAGTTACTTTATATTTTTCTCCGTGTAGAAAAAATTCCAAAAATGACTTTTTGGTGACAAATTTTATATATTAATAATTTTATTAATAATTTTATTAATAATTTTTTAAAATTTTTTTGTTTTTTTAATTTTTATTTATAATTTTTTTTATAATAATTTGTATTAAAAATTGTTTATTTTTTAGGCTGGAAATTATTATCCACCGATAACAACACGGGAACGTCATTTTCAATCAACAGAATTGGGTATCAGTCGAAATATTGGAATTGGAGTTGTTTTAGGTGGCGGAGGATCTGGCATATTAAGTGAGGATGAACAACAAGTACGAATAGCCAAACGTATAGGATTAATTCAACATTTACCAATACGAGAATATGATGGCACCAAAAAAGGAGAATGTGTTATATGTATGATGGAGTTGCAAATTGGTGAAGAAGTACGTTATCTACCGTGTATGCACACTTATCACGCGGTTTGTATCGACGACTGGCTTTTGCGTTCATTAACATGTCCATCATGCTTGGAACCTGTTGACGCTGCATTAATTAATTCTTACCATCCAACCACTTAAATTATATCGTCAAATGAATTTTAAAAACGAAGATAACTCGGAGATAGTTCATATTATTGATATAGTGTCATATATATAAGGATTATAATTTGATACTACACACCATCACAAACACACACACACGCATACACATGTAGACTGGGTAATTTTTTTTTTATTGTAAGTTGATCTTTATTTTCTAATATGTAAATAATCGATCTCTGTCTCTTTTATGTGATTTGAAACGGATATTTTCAAAAAAAAAATTTGATTTTAATTTTAGACGAAATTCAAACTTTATAGATTGTAAATTATATTTGAATTCTAAATTAATTAAAATTAATTAATTTCAATTCTAACAACTTAAAATTTTAATTCTAAATTAATTAAAATTTCGAAATTAAAATTAAAAAAAACTAAATTAGTTGAAATTTTAATTCTAAATTACTTGAAATTTTAATTCTAAACTACTTAAAATTCTAAATCTAAATTAATTTAAATTCTAATTTGTAAATTAATTTAAGGAGAAAATATTTTTCGACTAATAGAAAAATTTTCTTTTTTTTTTTAATTAAATAGAAAAATGTTCACCTCGAGGTATAACATTCTTATTCGATAAAATTGGCCGTTGCCTTGATGCTGAATGAATATTTCTCGTTCTGGTGATATAATGAAATAAGATGAAATAAGATCAAAAAAGATTTTATAAATACCAGTGAGAAAAAATTTTTTTTTTTTTAAATATATTTTTATTTAGTTTTAATTAATAAAATTTATTTAACGCTTGTATTCATAATGCAGAGAATATTCTTACAACATTAAATATGCATCAGTCAGTAGAATTAAGATTGTTTATTCGGGGATATAATGGATAAGGCTTTTTAAGTACATTTTTGTTATCAATAGAATATTTAATACGTTTATGTGTAAATGTATAATTGAGCAATATCTATATTTAGAGATTTTTATTTTGCTACGACATTATTTAAATAATTTAAGAAAACAAATGAATCTAACGACACAGTAAAATATTATTGAAATAAGAAAGAAAAACATAAAATACGTCGACAAATTTGTAATCGTAATTGATTTTCTACATATAAAGTTATATATATATAAAAATATATAAATTTATTTAACATAATATAATGTGATATATATTATATTATGAATCAATTACGAAAATTCGAAAAAACATCACTTAAGCGATTTAAGATTAGAAACACAAATTAAGTAATGTATATAATGTAGATCTAATCTACTTTTTAAATTACGTTGAAGTCAGTAAGAATTTGACACGAATTGAAAAAAAATTTAAATTAATTTCAAATCAACAACGAGCACTGAATTATTGTGATTTGCTTTTATTAAACTAATATTTTCCCACCGTCCAACAGAAAATGTATTTTAATTTTTATATTTTTTTCAACTCAAAAAAGTACGTTTATAAAAATTATTTTTCAGCTTTAATTATCGAAAATATTTTTAAATAGTCGAATTCGAATTAAAAATTAAAAATTAAAAATTAAAATTGTCTTTACAATTTCCAAGATTAAAAAGAAAAAAAAAAGAAAAATTCTTCGACAGACAGTGTGTTTACAATTAAACGTTTATGTAAAAATATTTATTTCGTTTATTGCAATTTTATCTGCATTTATAATTGTCAAATTTCTTAATGACTAGAACGCTTCTAAAAAACATAGTCTACTTCACAAATGGAAAAAAAATTTGAATTAGACAAGTGTATAACCTTAGCAGTCTGAATAGAGATAAAAAAATAATCTTGATGTCATATTTGACAGTGGTAAACAGTGTAACTGTCCGGTTTTTTGTATAGCGGCTTACGTAGAAATTCAAAGTTTTATTATAAAAATACTTATACTCAATTTGAGTTAATTATTTTACGTAATAAACTGTGTTTTATACAATGATAATAATAAAAAAAAACATACTTGCTTGAGCAAGGAATAATCTTCGAAAAACAAAATATATATAAATACATATATAACGTATTTACTTTCAGAGTAAAAAAGAAAAATGTTCAGCAAGATTGTGCAATTATAATGTTTTTTTTTAAATATATAAAAATATTTTACTAAAAGCATCGCAAAAAAAAAAATATTTCAAGAAACAAAAACATAAAAGTGATAAAAAAACAACCTCCAATATTCTAATGTGATTGTATAAAAAAAAATGTAAAAATATTCACGAAATAAAATACGATTTAAAATAATATTTAGAAAATTTTCTGTTTTCATTAGTTGAAAAAATTTCTTTCATTGATATTAATTTTTTTATTCTTGTATTATTTTTTGTTACTTTGGAAATATTAAAAAAATTAAAAATAATGAAAAATAGTAAACAAAAATATTTAAGCATTCTTTTTTATTTATTATTAAAAATTATTATTTTTAATTAATTCAAGAGGTGTATGAAAACTGTAATTAAAGATGATTTGAAAAATGGCGCCATACTCGTTTTCATTTTTCGAAGCGTTGGCAACACTGACTTTCTTGCTCTATGCTTCACTTGCCTTGCGCACACTTGTAACTGTTTGTTATGCTTTCGTTTTTCTCCGTTTCCTCAAAGTTTTTTGCATAAAAAATGTATTTTAATAGATAGATTTTGTTTAATTATAACCGTAAACATTAAAATTTATTAAAATATAATACATTTGTGTAGATATATTTGTCGATGGTAATGATTTTGAAGGATTGGATCATTTTCGTCAAGTTTTGACACGAGCTCCCATTGCGTCTTGGATATTGGTAAGTACACTTCGGTAAATTATCAAAAATACTGTATTTTTTACTTATTTACAAAAATTTTATGTTGTTTTGAAAATATTCTTATTGTTCCATGGATATGATTTTCGGTATTGTTTGATTCGAACATAACCTATTCTAATGTCATTGTTGCTCGCGTGCTACTTGGGATTGTTTTGTTAAAAAACGTTACATTTTTGCTTTTGTTAATTAATTAGAATCTATATTAGTTCTTCACTAAAAATTTCGTTTATTATCAATTGTAAAAATATTAAATTAAAAAAGAGAGAAATAGTAATAATTAATTGACAACGGAAAAAATTAAATAATCTCGGACGATAAATAATTATTTTAATCTGTTAAAAAAGTATGGAAAAATTAATAAATATATTTATTTATCACTTTTTATTAATATTACATTTAATACACAAAAGTGTGTGTGAATTGCAATTGAGGTTAATTTGAAAATTGGCGCCATGTTCATATTCATTGTTCGAAAGTTGGCAACACTGACTCACTTGCACGACGCGACACTTGCCTTGCGCATACTTGTCAGTGATTGTTGTTCTTTCAATTTTCTCATAGTTTTTTGCATAAAAATTCTCTTTTCATAGATAAATTTCGTTTAATTACGACTGAAATCATTAAAATTTAATGAAATATAATGTATTTGTGCAAATAGATCTGTGGATGCCAATGATTATAATGGATGCGAACTTTTTTCTTCAAGTTCCGACACGAGCTCTCATTGCGTACATGATATTGGTAAGTATATTCAGATAAATTATCAAATATGTTATTTTTTTCACTCGTTTACCAAATATTTATGTACTTTTGAAAATATTTCCATTGTTCCATAGACACGATTCTAGAAATTGTCTGAATCAAACATAACCTATTTTTGATGTAATTGTTGTTCGCCTCGCATGATTGACGTGAAGTTTGACAAATTGTTTCTCATATTTTATTGTTTTGGGGTTTATTAATTTGTCCAAAAATATCCATTTATAGTCCATTTATATTATTAGTTTACTAATATTAGCGATTATATTCTTTTTTTTACTTAAATTTTCATAAAATATTTACGAACTTTATACGTGTGGCGAAAAGTGAGGTTAGGTCAATTGTCAAAAAAAATGAAAATTTTCAAATTTCACTTATTAATTCATTAAAACTATATAGTTAATATTAATTATTCGGTTAGAAATTATAATAAAAGTGGGAAAAATAATTTCGGAGCAGCAGGAAATATTTGAATTTGAAAATTCGAATTTTCTGCGCATGTATAGGTCACGTGACTATTTGAATTTGAACTCTTGACTTTATTATTTGAAATATTTATTACTTTACAAAGAATATCGAAATTTTACATATATACTGATAATTTTCATACTTTTAGTTTTTTATTAATTTTTTTCTTTTTCAGTCCACGTCCGAAAAAACAAACTGAAGGAGGAGGAAAAATGTTAAGGAACAAAAGTGATCTCTGCGCCTGTTATTTTTCCATAGGAGACGTGGTAGCGCAGCATCAATCGATCAACGTTGAACTCAGTGTTCGGTGAGTGAAATCTTCCTCTTTTTTTAACTTTTGGCTTCAAAAATTGGTGAGTGAAATCAAAGTCTTTTCTTTCTATTTAACTCCATCCCTGTTTGAAATAATTTTTATCCTATAAAATTAATTTAAAATTGAAAAAGTTCTTTTTCTAAAATATCGCGCTTTTAAATTGTACAATTCAAATATTAAAAATCAATTTTTTAAATTAATTAATTTTAATTAATTAAATAAATTAATTTAAGTTGAATGTAAAAATAAATTTAAAGTTTAATTTGACATAAATTTAAAGTTTAATTTCAATTAAATTCAAAAGTTGAAAATTTATTTTTTGTATATAAAATTTTTAATTATTATTGATCTAATTAAAGGATTAAATGAATATTTTTCAAACAGGGAAGGAATCTGAACAACATAGTGACGCCATTGACAAAATTTATTATTTTATAATATTTTTTACTTACGCTAAAAAAAATGTATTCTATTTAAATAACCGATTACTTGTCCATTATTAAATAAATATTTAGGTACTTGAATCAAATAATTATTATTTAAATCGTTTAAATAGAATTTAAATCAAATACTGAAATTATTGGTTTAAATACAATTTATTTGATTTAAATGAAAATTATTTGATTGGAGTAATGTTTATTTGAGAATAGGCAAGTAATCGGTAATTTGAATCAAATAAATTTTTTTACTCTATATATTAATATAATTATTACTATTATGTAGGTATTAATGTATAAATTAATATTTTTGTCAATGTTTTCTATTATTATTTTTATGCCTTGTTCTACTTTCCATTTGTTTCATGTTTTATATAATTTTTCATTATTTATAAAAAACTGAACTGTTTTTTATTTTTAAAAAGTATTATTTATAAAAAAATTGTTTTTTAAAATAAATATGATTTAAAATAGTTGATTTTTAAAATAAATATTATTTAGAAAAGTTGATTTTTAAAATGAATATTATTTTAAAAAGTATTTACTTGTAAAAAAGTTGTTTATTAAAACAAAGATTTCTCACATTTTGTAAATTTTAAAGT